TAATTTCATTCTTCTACATGTAGCTGTCCAGTTTTCCCAACACCACTTGTTGAAGAGACTGTCTTTTCTCCACTGTATATCATTGCCTCCTTTGTCATAGATTAGTTGACCATAGGTACGTGGGTTCACCTCTGGGCTTTCTATCTTGTTTCATTGATCTATATTTCTATTTTTGTGCCAGTACCATACTGTCTTGATTACTGTAGCTTTGTAGTATAGTCTGAAGTCAGGGAGTCTGATTCCTCCAGCTCCGTTTTTTTCCTCAAGACTGCTTTGGCTATTCGGGGTCTTTTGTGTCTCCATACAAATTTTAAGATTTTTTGTTCTAGTCCGTAAAAAATGCCATTGGTAATTTGATAGGGATTGCATTGAATCTGTAGATTGCTTTGGGTAGTATAGTCATTTTCACAATATTGATTCTTCCAATCCAAGAACATGGTATATCTCTCCATCTGTCTGTAGTATCTTTAATTTCTTTCATCAGTGTCCTTTAGTTTTCTGTATACAGGTCTTTTGTCTCCCTAGGTAGGTTTATTCCTAGGTATTTTATTCTTTTTGTTGCAATGGTAAATGGGAGTGTTTCCTTAATTATGTATAGGAATGCCAGAGATTTCTGTGCATTAATTTTGTATCCTGCTACTTTACCAAATTCATCGATGAGCTCTAGTAGTTTTTTGGTGGCCTCTTTAGGATTCTCTATGTGTAGTGTCATGTCATCTGCAAACAGTGACAGTTTTACTTCTTTTCCAATTTGTATTCCTTTTATTTCTTTTTCTTCTCTGATTGCCATATCTAGCACTTCCAAAATTATGTTGAATAATAGTGGTGAGAGTGGGCAACCTTGTATTGTTCCTGATCTTAGAGGAAATGCTTTCAGTTTTTCACCATTGAGAATGATGTTTCCTGTGGGTTTGCCACATATGGCCTTCATTAGGTTGAGGTAGCTTCCCTCTATGCCTACTTTCTGGAGAGTTTTTATCATAAATGGGTGTTGAAGTTTGTCAAAAGCTTTTTCTGCATCTATTGAGATGATCATATGGTTTTTATTCTTCAATTTGTTAATATGGTGTATCACATTTATTGATTTGCATATATTGAAGAATCCTTGCATCCGTGGGATAAATCCCACTTGATCATGGTGTATGATCCTTTTAATGTGTTGTTGGATTCTGTTTGCAAGTATTTTGTTGAGGATTTTTGCATCTATATTCATCAGTGATATAGGTCTGTAATTTTCTTTTTTTGTAGTATCTTTGTCTGGTTTTGGTATCAGGGTGATGGTGGCCTCATAGAATGAATTTGGGAGTGTTCCTTCATCCGCAATTTTTTGGAAGAGTTTGAGAAGGATGGGTGTTAGCTCTTCTCTAAATGTTTCATAGAATTCACCTGTGAAGCCATCTGGTCCTGGACTTTTGTTTGTTGGAAGATTTTTAATCACAGTTGTAATTTCATTACTTGCGATTGGTCTGTTCATATTTTCTATTTCTTCCTGGTTCAGTCTTGGAAGGTTATACCTTTCTAAGATTTGTCCATTTCTTCCAGGTTGTCGTTTTTTTTTTTTTTTTAATTAATTAATTAATTTATTTTTGTGGTACGCGGGCCTCTCACTGTTGTGGCCTCTCCTGTTGTGGAGCGCAGGCTCAGCGGCCATGGCTCACGGGCGCAGCCGCTCCATGGCATGTGGGATCCTCCCGGACCGGGTCACGAACCCGCATCCCCTGCATCGGCAGGCGGACTCTCAACCACTGCGCCACCAGGGAAGCCCCCAGGTTGTCGGTTTTATTGGCATCAAGTTGCTTGTAGTGGTCTCTTCGGATGCTTTGTATTTCTGTGGTCTCCGTTTTCATGTCTAATTTTATTGATTTGAGTCCTCTCCCTCTTTTTCTTGATGAATCTGGTTAATGGTTTATGAATTTGTTTTATCTTCTCAAAGAACCAGGTTTTAGTTTTATTGATCTTTGCTCTTGTTTTGTTTGTTTCCACTTCATTTATTTCTGCTCTGATCTTTATGATTTCTTTCCTTCTGCTAACTTTGGGTTTTGTTTGCTCTTCTTTCTCTAATTCTTTTAGGTGTAAGGTTAGATTGTTTGAGATTTTTCTTGTTTCTTGAGGTAGGCTTGTATTGCTATAAACTTCCCTCTTAGAACTGCTTTTGCCACATCCCATTGGTTTTGGATCGTCGTGTTTTGATTGTCATTTGTCTCTAGGTAGTTTTTGATTTCCTCTTTGATTTCTTCAGTGATCTCTTGGTTATTTAGTAACGTGTTGTTTAGCCTCCATGTGTTTGTGTTGTTTACGTTTTTTTCCCTGTCATTGATTTCTAATCTTATAGCACTGTGGTCAGAAATGATGCTTGTATGATTTCAATTTTCTTATATTTACTGAGGCTTGATTTGTGACCCAAGATGTGATCTATCCTGGAGAATGTTCCGTGTGCACTTGAGAAGAACGTGTAATCTGCTGTTTTTGGATGGAATGTCCTGTAAATATAAATTAAATCTGTCTGGTCTATTGTGTCATTTAAAGCTTCTGTTTCCTTATTAATTTTCTGTTTGGATGACCTGTCCATTGGTGTAAGTGAGGTGTTAAAGTCCCCCACTATTATTGTGCTACTGTTGATTTCCTCTTTTATAGCTGTTAGCAGTTGCCTTATGTGTTGAGGCATTCCTATGTTGGGTGCATATATATTTATAATTGTTATATCTTCTTGGATTGATCCCCTGATCATTATGTAGTGTCCTACTTTGTCTCTTTTAATAGTCTTTATTTCAAAATCTATTTTTTATGATGTGAAAATTGCTACTCCAACTTTATTTTGATTTCCATTTGCACGGAATATCTTTTTCCATGCCCTCACTTTCAGTCTCAATGTGTCCCTAGGTCTGAAGTGGGTCTCTTGTAGACAGCATATATACAGGTCTTGTTTTTGTATCCATTCTGTGAGCCTGTGTCTTTTGGTTGGAGCATTTAATCCATTCACATTTAAGGTAATTATCGATATGTATGTTCCTATGACCATTTTCTTTATTGCTTTGGGTTTGTTTTTGTAGGTCCTTTTCTTCTCTTGTGTTTCCCACTTAGAGAAGTTCCTTTAGCATTTGTTGTACAGCTGGTTTGGTGGTGCTGAATTCTCTCATCTTTTGCTTCTCTGTAAAGCTTTTGATTCCTCCATCGAATCTGAATGAGATCCTTGCTGGCTAGAGTAATCTTGGTTGTAGGTTCTTCTCTTTCATCACTTTAAATATGTCATGCCACTCCTTTCTGGCCTGCAAAGTTTCTGTTGTGAAATCAGCTGTTAACCTTATGGGAGTTCCCTTGTATGTTATTTGTTGTTTTTCCCTTGCTGCTTTCAATAATTTTTCTTTGTCTTTAATTTTTGCCAATTTGATTACTATGTGGCTCAGCATGTTTCTTCTTGGGTTTATCCTGCCTGGGACTATCTGCACTTCCTGGACTTGGGTGGCTATTTCCTTTTCCATGTTAGAGAAATTTTCAACTATAATCTCTGCAAATATTTTCTCAGGTCCTTTCTCTGTCTCTTCTCCTCTGGGACTGCTATAATGCAAATGTTGTTGTGTTTAATGTTGTCCCAGAGGTCTCTTATGCTCTCTTCATTTCTTTTCATTCTTTTTTCTTTATTCTGTTCCTCAGCAGTGAATTCCACCATTCTGTCTTCCAGGTCACTTATCCGTTTTTCTGCCTCAGTTATTCTGCTATTGATTCTTTCTAGTGTAGTTTTCATTTCAGTTATTTTATTGTTCATCTCTGTTTGTTTGCTCTTTAATTCTTCTAGGTCTTTGTTAAACATTTGTTGCATCTCCTCTATCTTTGCCTCCATTCTTTTTCCGAGGTCCTGGATCATCGTCACTATCGTTATTCTGAATTCTTTTTCTGGAAGGTTGCCTATCTCCACTTCATTTAGTTGTTTTTCTGCGGTTTTATCTGGTTCCTTCATCTGGTACATAGTCGTCTGCCTTTTCATCTTGTCTATCTTTCTGTGAATGTGGTTTTTGTTCCACAGGCTGCAGGATTGTAGTTCTTCCTGCTTCTGCTGTCTGCCCTCTGGTGGATGAGACTATCTAAGAGGCTTGTGCAAGTTTCCTGATGGGAGGGACCTGTGGTGGGTAGAGCTGGCTGTTTCTCTGGTGGGCAGATCTCAGTGAAACTTTAATCTGCTTGTCTGCTGATGGGTTGGGCTGAGTTCCTTCCCTGTTGGTTTTTTGGCCTGAGGCGACCCAACACTGGGGCCTACCCGGGTTCTTTGTTGTGGCTAATGGTGGACTCTGGGAGGGCTCACGCCAAGGAGTACTTCTCAGAACTTCTGCTGCCAATGTCCTTGTCCTCACAGTGAGACACAGCCACCCCCCCATCTCTGCAGGAGATCCTCCAACACTAGCAGGTAGGTCTGGTTCAGTCTCCTATGGGGTCACTGCTCCTTCCCGTGGGTCCCAATGCACACACTGCTTTGTGTGTGCCCTCTAAGGGTAGAGTCTCTGTGTCCCCCGTCCTGCTGAAGTCCTGCAATCACATCCCGCTAGCCTTCAAAGTCGGATTCTCTAGGAATTCCTCCTCCCATTGCCGGACCCCCAAGTTGAGAAGCTTGATGTGGGGCTCAGGACCTTCATTCCAGTGGGTGGATTTCTGTGGTATAAGTGCTCTCCAGTTTGTGAGTCACCCACCCAGCAGTTGTGGGATTTTATTTTATTGTGATTGCACCCCTCCTACCATCTCACTGTGGCTTCTCCTTTGTCTTTGAATGTGGGGTATCTTTTTTGGTGAGTTTCAGTTTCCTCCTGTCGATGATTGTTCAGCAGTTAGTTGTGATTCCGGTGCTCTCGCAAGAGGGAGTGAGAGCACATCCTTCTAGTTCGCTATCTTGAACCAATCTGAACATGAATAAATCTTATGTTTCATAGTGCCACACTGAGCTCACATAGTAGATCCTGAAACAAGAGCTTGCACACAGTGATGCTGTCTTGGTCAGCGATCCTATAGGGAGCAGGAGTGGGAATGTGCCAGAGTGAAACCGGATGGAAGGAAAGTGAAATCAAGGGTGTGATGTGGTATAAAGCTGATCACCACTGTGGGAAACTGAGGTCTTCTCTCTAGAACTCTCTCTAGAGAGTCAGATGGAATGGACCTCCCCGTTGTCTGCCTGAGGGACATAAGACAGGAGGACTTCTCTGTGGTCCCTTCCCCACTGGTCAAGGGTGTTAAGCCCCTCCTGTTTCCAGGTTGACACATTTGACAGAAAAGCTAAGAAGGTTGCTGCAGGTGACCCACTGCAGAGCAGACACACCTCTGGACAGAAAGCCAGAGCTATGAAGGGTAGCTAAAGTGAGGTGCCAGAGTGTAACTGAGGAAAACGAGATGAAACGAGAGAATGAGCCTTAGGGCATGAGAGGTACACCATATGTATAGCTTTGTGAAGGTTTAGGGATTGAAATGCCTTGCTCTTCCAGTCATGACTCTCTTCTTAATTAGAATGTGATGAGACGCACGTCTTATCTTGTTTTTCTTTTAGAGTAAGAGCCTCATTGTAGAAGAAAAAGTCAAGTGGGATCCTCTGAAACTACCCACCTCCCCATCCAGCCAAGAGAGTAAATAAAAAAACCAAGTCACATCTCAGAGGAGCATGGACGAGATTAGAGCCATCCTCAAAGCTTTAAAGGATGCAGGGGTGGTAGCTCCCATTTACTTATTCTGGCCTCTATGAAAACCAGATGGTGGATGATCATGCATTACTTAACGGTAACAAAGGAGGGGCCCCAGTTGCAGCTGCTGGGCTGGATGTGGGACCTTTACTAAAGAAGATTAACAGAGCCTCAAGTATGTAGTGTTCATTTGATCTGGTGAGCATATTATTATCCATATCATTCAAAGAGAAGGACCGAAAGCAGTTTTAATTGTCATGGAAGGACAACAGTATATATTCACAGGATTGCCCAGGCAGTATGTTAATTCTCCCATTTTCTCTTGTAAGGATCCACACTATTTGGACATTTCACAAAAATTACATTGGTCTATCATTTTGAGGAAACACGTTGATGAGCAAAATGTGCCATGTACCCTTGATGTACCCTTGATGAGACATACAGAATTCCAGAGGGTGAGAAGCCAACCCTAGAAAGATCCAGAGGCCTGCCAGATTAGCATAGGTCATGCAGGGCTATCCCCTCCCAAGTACAAGGTAGGTTACTACATCTTTCACTTCCAATCTATAAAAAAGAAGGACACCACTTGTCAGGCCTCTTTTTTTTTTTTAAATTTATTTTTTTATTCTGGCTGCTCCGGGTCTTAGTTGTGGCACGTGGGATATTTTAGTTACAGCATGCATGTGGGATCTAGTTCCCCAACCAGGGATTGAACCTGGGCCCCTGCATTGGGAGCGCAGAGTCTCACCCACTGGACCACCAGGGAAGTCCCTTGTCAGGCCTGTTTATCATTTGTTTGCAGGCTATTCCACACTGAGATACACTTCTTCAGTCCATTTATAGGAAGGTTGCTAGCTTTGAAGTGGAGCCCAGAGCAAGAGAAGGCTTTGTAGCAGGTCCAGTAATAAAAGCAACCTTGCGGCTTGGGTCATATACCCCGCAGATCCCATGGTAGCAGGAGTACCAGTGGAAGAAAAGATGCCGTGTGAGTTCTTTGGCAAGTCCCAGTAGGAGGATCGCAACGCAGACCTCTAGGGTTCTCAAATGATGCCGTGCCATTTGCTGCAGAGAACTATGCCTCATTCAAAATGCAGCTCCTGGCAGACTACCAGGCCCTGATATATAGTCTGAGTACCTCACCATGGGACATTGTGTGACCCTGTGTCCAGAATTGGTCATCATGAGCTGGATGCTCTCAGATCCCCAAGTTCTAAGTTAGGCGGACCCAGCAGCAATGTGCTGTTGAAAGAGATAAGTGGTACCCTGGAGACAGTGCCTTGAATAGGCACAGAGGCCCAAATAAACTGCATGGAAAATGACCCCAACCCCTGGGATCACCCTGCCGTTGCCCTGACTGACATCTCTTCCTCAGTTCACGCCTATGGCCTCATGGTGGTTTCCCAACGACCAGCCAGCAGAGGAAGAAAAACCCAAGCTTGGTTCACAGACGGATGGGCTGGGTGAAGTTAGTTCGGGTTGATAACGGACTGATAATTCCCATTCAGGGATGGCCTTGAACGACAGAGGTGCAGGTAAATCCTCTCAAAGGTCAGGCCACTTAAAAAAAATAATGAAATTGTCTTTGTACACATTCACATGTTAACTTTTAAATGTATATTACCTCTACCCACAAGCTTTATATAGTGCTTAAAAATAATATTTGTATTAAGTGTTTGCTTAAATGTCCTGGGTTTAAATTACACCATCAATAATGAAAATTATTTCGCTATTACCATTAACATTGTTAGTAAGAGAGAATCAAAGGGAAAGACTTCCAAGACCATATAGAGAACATGCATGGGAAGTTAATAGGCTCTTGAGAATTTTGTTATGTTGCCTCCACAGTGGGAGATTTGGTAAGCCTTAGCGAAAGAACAAGAAGGCAAATCGAAGTAGCAGGCCAGCAGGCTTTCAGAACCAGATAAATGTGGCTCTGAGTCAAGGCTCTGCCACTTACTAAGTGTATGACTTTGGGAAAGCTATTTAATTTCTCGTAACCTCAGTGTCCTTCTCTGTGAAACAAGGTTGATGATACTTTAACTAGCTTCTTGAGAGGCCTGCCAAGTACAGTTGTGCAGCCTGTGAACTGCACAAACGTACCTAGTGGAGGAGGTGAGAAGGGGCTGACATCCCACTTGGGCTCAGAGCCCTGGGTAGCATCTACCATGCTGCAGTACCTATTTCTAATTTGCACAAGGTCCCCTATAGGCTACTTCAGGCCTGCCTGTTGTCAGGATTTAAATGAGATCACATATGTAAGGCACCTAGTAAGTAGTAATAAATGGTAGCTGCTACTGTATTCTGTTGACTCCAAGTCCAGTTATTGAAAGCCTAAGTTAAAAATAGAAGTCAGAACCCAAGCCCTGCATAATACAAATGGTCACACAGGAAGGGCATGTCTCTGATGGAATCGGGCTCCCCCCAATGGACTCTAAAGACCACAAGGCTGGGACCTGCCTCACTCACCTCTGGATGCTCCTGGCACCACTTAATAAATATTTGCTGAATGATTGGTTGAATGAATGAATGGATGGAAGGATAATTTTACTTTTTATGAAACAAAGTAACAGCATCTTTGAAAATATTTGCTTGGAGTTGTTCTTGAGTATCTTCCCATACCTTGATTTCAGTTGCCAGTTCCCAGAGTTTCCTGTAGTTTTGAGGCCACTTATAGAATAAATCTAGGTCAATGTTCAGAATAGGTTGCTTCAACTGTCTTAAATTTAGTGACAGAATCCTCCAATAGTGCAACCAAGCAATAACAATCCCACAGTTTCTCCAAGCTTGGATCTTTGTCATGTTTACCATGTGATCAAACTATGTCTTTTGGCCCCTTTAGGCTACACTGATCAAACTTAAGTCTGATTTATTTAGAGTTATTTTTGTTGTCACTTTTAGACTTTTAGACTACGTAGAAAGAATCTGGTTCCTTACGTTAAGCTTCCTGAACCATGTGGCTGGTGGGGTGACTACTACAAGAGGGAGAAATTGTCTTTGGAGACAAGTTTCTGTGGTAGAACTTTCTCTGGTTCTACCACAGACTCCTCCCCTTCTCAGCTGTGCAGTGGAGAATCAGACCTCCCTGGGGCACTGTTAGCAGCATGGTGAGCTCCAGAACAATCCTCTTGGGTGATAAAGAAGGGTTGCTGTGAGATATTATGGAAACTAAGTCTTTCCAAAGGAATAAAACTTGCACTGGAATCCAGCAAAATAATGTTTTCAGTTCAGCAAATTTAGTTTTCCTGTAGTTACCTCTGATTTAGCGTAAGTGGTCTGAACTAGCTCTAAAATATGATACGATGTGATGATGAAATGCGATAAGCCTTACTCCCGTGGGTCGTCTGTTCCGTTCGCGCTCCCTCCCTTTTGTTCCATTGTCTGGTTACATTCCTCTCTTCCTCTTACCTCACCACTGGCAGGGCTTATTAACTGGGTCAGAATTAAATTTTACACGTTGCACCAACAGTTTTAAACATTAATGAGAACTCCAGGCCCCGTAACTGTAACAGTGAAAAGGAGCTGCACAAACCTCCCCAAAAGGACAGCCTCAGTGAGGATCGGAACGGCCTTTGTTCATCTTCAGAACAACTAATCTCCCTTGCTAAATTCGCCTTCCATGCAATTCCAGAGACTTCTGAATAGTTCTGTTCTTGGAGCATTTCCTTACTTGCTCCTAATATGTTTCATTGTCACAGTAAGCCAGATCTTTTGCTGGTTTTAGTTGCCTGTTTAGAAGTTACTTTTAGGATAGTCTGCTTTTAAATTAATCTTTATAGTCACTAAGTTTGATGGTAAACTAGCAGTATTATGTTGTCATTTCTTTATGAGAACAGGATTTCCCAAATTTAATTATATTAAAGCCAAGATAAGAAGTTTTGGGGCATTTAAGAGAGCCTATATCTGTAAATGCAGTTTAAAAATCTTTTCTCATTAAGTAAATTATATTAATTCAATTTACTTCACAGCAAAATGATGAAAGGAAGAGGAAATAATTACGTTCTGCATAATAATTATGTTTTGGAAAGCCGCGTTATAAAATCACAAAACATTTGAAGAGAGGGTGATACAGATTTCTTCAGATAAGGTTTTCCATTTTTGGTCTTAATAAAATAATTGATGCCTGGCCTTCTGTTCCTGATCTAAGAAGTTCTAGGTTCCCTTAATTTCAAAATGATTATGCAAGACCCTCTCCATTCCCAGAACGTTCTCATGCTCACCAAATTCTCTTTCTCGGATACTCCCGTGCTGTCCCATTAACATCTCAAATCCCATTTCTCAGATACCCCAGGAAAACAACAACAGAGAGAAGCCTTGTAAGGGAATGGCTAAGAGCATGGACCCTTATGCTAGACTAGCTCTACCACTTACTACCTGTATAACATTGGGCAAGTTGGCTAAGCTCTCTGTGCTTCATTTTCCCATCTGTAAAATGGGGATAGTAACAGTACGTACCTCATAGAGTTACTAGGAGGATTAAGTGATTTAATCTTTCTAAAGTACTTAGAATAGTAGGAGTAGGTATTATATGAGTGTTGTTAAATAAAATTTTATCTAATAAAGTTTAATCCTGATTTTTACTTTTTCTCTCCAAAATCAGGATTTTTATCCCATAAATCCAGTAGAAGAAATTGTTAGTAATTTTTAATGCCTTTTATATAAATAATGTATTTAATAAATATCTTTATCACAGATTATAAACAAACTAGATGTCCAACAATATACAAATTGCTAAAACTTCAGATATTTAAGTGACATAATCTATTTTCAATATGTTTAAGTGAAAAAAAGTAGGTTACATAAAAATAATATGCATTATGATTCCATCTTTTAATTGGAACAATATGTATCATATACAAAGGCCAAAAAGAGTCTGAACAGATAGACAACAAAATGTTTGTAATGGTTATTTTTTGGTGATGAAATGATGGATGTTTTTTTATTTTCTTCTTTTTGAAAATCTGGATCATCTAAATTATCTCCAAGAATCTTAATTACTGATTAATAAAGGGAAACTAAAAATTAATAATAAAAATATAATTTATGATTGTGGAAATTTATTTTCTCTCCATGGGAATCTCTAAGGAAAGTGGAGAAATACATTAAATTCCTCTAATTTAATTCAATCACAACTTCCATAAACAGGACATTTATTTATTTATTTATTTATTTATTTATTTTTTGGCAGCACAACACGGCTTGCAGGATCTTAGTTCCCTGACCAGGGGTCAAACCCTGGCCCCAGCAGTGAAAGCACTGAGTCCTAACCACTGGCCCGCCAGGGAATTCCCATAAACCTCAAATTTAGTAAGATTTTTTTTTATCCCATTGTTTTTAGATATGCTAAGACACTAAAAGGTATTTTAAACAATCTTGCATTTATTAGTGTGGATCTTTTAATCATTTGTTCTCATTTTTATCTTACTTTAGTTGTGGATAATTAATGTTTAATGTTGGTTTATTTTGTGTAAGCAAACCTTTAAAACAACTTATTACACTAAATTTGAGAACTGAAGTAGATATTCTGTGAATACAATAATTTTAGTTGTTTCTTGAGTTTATCAAATAACAGAAATAAAAAGTTTCTAGCATTACTTATGAGTCAAGATAGATGACTACTTAACTGGATACATTTTCCAAGAATCAGAGAGAAAAATTAAATATACCATCTTATGGAACAGAATAGGGAGCCCAGAAATAAACCCACATACCTACAGTCAATTAATCTTTGACAAAGGAGGAAAGAATATACAAAGGGAAAAAGACGGTCTCTTCATCAAGTGGTGCTGGGAAGGTTGGACAGCCACATGTAAATCAATTGATGTTAGAACACACCTCACACCACACACAAAAATAAAAATGGCTTAAAGACTTAAACATAAGACATGACACCATAAAACTCTTAGAAGAGATCATAGGCAAAACATTCTCTGATATAAATTGTACCAATGTTTTCTTAGGTCGGTATTCCAAGGCAATAGAAATAAAAACAAAAATAAACATTTGGGACCTAATCAAACTTACAAGCTTTTGCACAGCAAAGAAAACCATAAACAAAATGAAAAGACAACTTACAGAACGGGAGAAAATATTTGCAAATGATGAGACTGATAAGGGCTTAATTCCCAAAATATACAAACAGCTCATACAACTCAACAACAACAAAAAACAAACAACCCAATCAAAAAATGAGCAGAAGATCTAAATAGACATTTCTCCAAAGAAGAAATACAGATGGCTGATAGACACATGAAAAGATGCTCAAACGTTGCTAATTATTAGAGAAATGCAAATCAAAACTACAATGAGGTAACACCGCACACTGGTTAGAATGGCCATCATTAAAAAGTCTACAAATAACAAATGCTGGAGAGGGTGTGGAGAAAAGGAAACCCTCCTACACTGTTGGTAGGAATATAAGTTGGTGCGGCAACTATACAAAACAATATGGAGGTAACTCAGAAAACTAAAAATAGAATTACCATACGATCCAGCAATCCCACTTCTGGGCATATATCCAGATGAAACTATAATT